TTTTTTCATATGTTAACAATGAAAATTGTTTACAGCATATTGTTAAATGGGGAAAAAAGAAGATTACAAAACAGTGAATATGCTTACATTTTCATTGGAAGAAAACACTCAGTATGTACAGTGCTCCATGTGAACAATTTTGTGTTTTACTCACCACTGTTTTCCTGGAATCTAGAATACAAAGTAGTTCCTCAATTAACATTGACCAGGCAAGCAAATGAATAAGTGAATGAATGAAGGAATGGCTACAAGAACAAAAAGATGTAAAGAAGAACACATAGCCAAACTGTGAATGGTGGTGGACTTCAGAGGTGGGTTTATGAAGGACTTTTATCTTCTTGATCATTTTCTATATATGCTGAAAATTTTAAATGAGCACCCCTTGTGCATCTCATCAGAAAGGAAGAACAGTGAAGGCATTAAAAGAAGTGAAGGCTCAGTCTGTGGGCATAGGGCAGCCAGGATCTAGATGGGATAAGGAGGTGGGGGCTCACTGGGAAGAATGTTGGGTTGGTGACCAGGGCAGATACCCAACCCACCCATACTCATTCCACCCAAGCCTAGAAAAGCTGAGGTCTCAGGGAGGGTAGAGCTATGGGAAGAAAGGTGAGGGCCAGAGAGGGCCTGCAACTGGCCTGGGGGCACACAGCAGGGCCTGCTCAGGTCTCAGCCTCCAACATACTCCTTAACTCTATTTCACAGATGAGGACACTAAGGCCCAGGGGTTAGAGATACTAAGAGCAAGGCTCCAAAGACAGACGAATTCAATTTCTAAATCTTTCACTTATCCATCCTGGAGCCTCCTCCTCATGGAGCTTCAATTCCCCTCTCCTACAATGGAGTAGTAACGTCAGTGGGTGCCAAGCCCATGAGCTACCTACACATGGTGGGGTTCACGGTAGTGGTGGCAGTTGAGGTTGACCTTTAGGATTCTGAGGTCAAGTTCAGCTGCTTCCCTGGAGTTGGTGGCCCCTGGCCCCACCACAGTGAATCAGAACATCTTCCTTGGGGTGCCCTACAGAGACCATCCCACTCTTGAAGACAGAGTAGGGAGGTGCTGGGTTTGAATCTGACTCTACCACTTGCCAGCTGTATGACTCAAGGAAGTCACATAACCTCATCTGTAAAATAAAGCTGATAATAACACCATCCATGAAGCATTTTTGTGAGAACCAAAGAGCTCAGGACAACAAGCACTGGTTGTTGTCACTGCTTATCTGGACTAGTGCAGGGGTTTCCTGCCTCTCATCTTTCCCCTCCATGGTCCATCCTCCATGTGGCAGGCAGAGGGTCCTCAAAGTATAGGCTGATGTACCATTCCATGGAACAGATTGCTGACATGCACAGCTCCCTGGGCCAATTGCAAAGGCATCACACCGACTAAAGGAAGCAGACACGTGCTGTGTAATACAGTTTATATGACATGCTGGGAAAGGCAAAATGATAGGGACAGAAAACAGGTGGGGGATGGGGTAGGGGAGGGTTAAAGGGACATGGGGGCAATGGGGATGTGAAAATTGTTTTCTAACTTGGTTGTGGTAGTAGCTACATGAGGGTATACATTTGTCAAAACTACACTCTGAAAAGTATAATTTTTACTGTATATAAATACTACCTTAAATGTTTTAAACAAACAAATAAGAAAAAGCCACAAACAAAAACCAAACCATGATGTATATACTGGGCTTCATTTTATTGTTCTATTTATATATATGTTTGAAATTTTCCAATATGAAGAATAAAAAAAACTAAATTTGTGTCCCTGATCTGCTCAAAATCATCTCATGGCTCCCTCCAGGCTCAGAGTAAAAGCTGAAGGCCTCACTGTGGCCAGCAAAGGCTCTCAATCGGCTCTCAGCTGTCTTGGCCTCACCCCCATTCCCTGGCTCACTCTGCCCCTGCCACACTGCTCTCAGTGTGTTCCTTAAACACACCTCAGGGCCTTTGCACTGGCTGTTCTACCTGAACTGCTCTTCCCCCAGCAGCTCCTGACTCAATCCCTCACCTCCTTCACGCCTTTCATTAAGAAAAAAAAGCCCAGCTCAGTTGAGGTCAGTCCTAGCTACCCTGTCTCAAACCTCCAAAATCACATCACACACCTCTTCCAGCTGAATCTGTCTCTGGGGAAGTTGAAATGAACCATATTTCTATTTTCTTCTTTACTCCTTGTCTCTCTCTCCCCTAGAATATAGCTCCTGAAGGACAAGGAGGTGGGTCTGTTCATTGTTGTGTCCCCCTAGAATAGTGGGGGACTGGCACATAGTAGGTACTTAATAAATAGTTGCAAAATGAATTAATGATTGACTAAATGATATCTTACATACATATGACCTGGTCTCCATGTGGCAATGCCAGGTCCCAGCCATGGGGCGCTCAGGGTCCATTTGCCCCAAGACTGTTGGGACTCAGATTTGCTTTCTAACTTCAGGAGTCACACATTCATTCAGCAATCACTCCACCCAAGGTCTACTCCATGACTGGCATGCTTTGGCGTTGAAAGATAGAGCAAATCCAATCATCCATTAATTGTTTGCTTTATTCTTTTATTACTACACCGCTTTGTTCCTCAAAGGATTTCTGCAAGCTTCAAAGACCCCAACAAGCTAATAGACATTTAAAAGTAGGAGAGAAATAAGGGAATCAAAAAACAGGGAGGACCCTGGTTCTTATGCTGGACCTAATTTGCACTGGGACCTGGCAGGGACTGAAGAGAAGAGGACTCTCCTCTGGACCCAGGCTGACTGGGGAGCATCAATGAAGGCTTCCCAAAGGAAGTGATGTTTAGACAACAGCGTATGTGAAGGCCCAGAGTGGGAAACAGCATAGCCTGTTCATAGAATTTCCAGAAACTTGTTCTGGCCTTCCCACCTCACTCAAGTTCTTTGGAGACAAAGAAGTCACCCAAGACACACACAAGATCACATCTTGTGCTCAGGATTGCAGCTAGCCCTGACTCAGTTGAGGTCAGGGCCCTCTCTGATTCCAGCATCCCTTTCTGTCTACTTGTATATAATAATTCACAGCTTTGTTTTGTTTCCAAACTCCGTGATAATACATATACTTTTTTAAAAAAATTTTAATTGCTAGGGTATCCTCAATAAATATAACTGACAAAGGACATGTAACCAAACTACAAAAAGAACTCAAAAAAAAAAAAAATGAATAGGCAAAATACTTATATAGGCACTTTACAAAGTAGATTTCCTAATGACCAAGGAACATATGAAAAAGCCTCCACACCATGAGTCACTAGGCAAATGCAAATTAAAGCCAGTGAGAGACCACTTCACACTCATCAGAATGGCTAAAATTAAAAACACGGAAAAGATTGACACCACAATCTCTCAAAATTGTCAGCAGGACTGTAAAATGGTATGACTACTTTGGAAAAAAGTCGGCCGATTTCTAATGAAACTCAAGATGCACCTACTAGAAGATCCATCAGTCCATTCCTGGTGGCCACCCAATTGGAGTGCTACAATACGGATCCCAAAAGATTTGGTCAAGAATGTATATGGTAAGTTTGTTCACAATAGTCAAAACCCAAAAACAATCCAAATGACCATCAAAAGGTGGGTGGATAAATAAATGTAAATGCACACAATGGAATACTATTCAGTGATGAAAAAGACACTCGCACCAACATGGATAAATCTCATAGATAAAATGAACAAAAGAAACTGGACACTAAAAATACTATGTGATTCCATTTGTATGAAGTTCTGGGAAAAGCAAATTAGTCAAGGTAGTAGTTACCTTAAGGGGTGGGGCACTGACTGGAAGGAGACGAGGGAAACACTATTCTGTATCTTGATTTGGGTGATGGTCATGTGTGAACATCAAGCTTACACCTTAATAAACAAACTAGTAAAAAGTAACCTATAGTCATGTGATTCAGTGTTGCAGCTGTGAGTGGGAAGGCAGGTAGCTTCAGATGTGAGCAAGTCGGGATGGGGAGGAGAAGGGGGCGGGGGTGAGGAGCAGGGGCCTGGTGAAGTTCCCTTGCACGAAAGTCTGGATCCTAGAGAGTCCAGCCTGTCCTCAAGCAAGCAAGTCCTTGGCTCTCTTAGGACCCCATCTGAGGAGCGGATCTGGGGATCTCCAAGGTCACTTCCTGTAGTTTTGCCTCTTGAGGAGCGGTAGCACTTCACCCCTATCCCAAAAAAGGTTTCTTAGGCTAATTCCGCAGCACCAATCCTCCCAGGTCTCCAGCCGTGTGACCTCACAAAGGTCTCTCACTGCACTGGGTATCTATTTCCTCATCTGTAAAATAGAATCGAGCATATCTATTTCTCAGGCTTGTAATGAAAATTTTCACTGAGCGCAGTGAGTCCTTCCTTACTGAGCGCTTTCTATCTATACTCACTAGCGCTTTGCTATGCACAGGCCACGCACACAGCAAGTACTTAAATGGTGTTTGAGAGGGGATGATTAGAATTTCCCTAGAGATCATTACATCTTTTTAAGAAGGGATCCCTGTGGGAGCCCCAAAGTTGGCTGTGGGTCAAACGCAAGACGGAAAAGTGGCCTCGGGACGGATGTGGCGTGCGTTGTTTTGTTTGGAACTTCAATTGGAACGCAGCCGGCGAGGCGCGCGGCCCCTTTAAGAGTGGGATGGAATGTATCAAAACAAAAAGGCCCCGCGCCCACTGGCTGCGCTCTGCACGTGACCTCACAGCTGATTTCCTGCCCCCCCTCTTTTTTGTTACAGCCGCCGCCGAGTGTCAGTTTCAACGCCGTCGCCTGCGGTCTTTCAGGCGCGGGCTGCCGGCCGCCCCGCGCCCCCGCCCTCCCAGAGCCCCGGCTGTGCTCCCCGCACCTC